CTCCATGGCGGTGACGGTCTTGCGCTTGGCGTGCTCCGTGTAGGTGACGGCGTCACGGATCACGTTCTCTAGAAAAACCTTGAGCACCCCACGGGTCTCCTCGTAAATGAGGCCGGAGATGCGCTTCACGCCGCCGCGCCGAGCCAGGCGACGGATAGCCGGCTTGGTAATGCCCTGGATGTTATCCCGCAGCACCTTCCTGTGGCGCTTAGCACCACCTTTCCCCAACCCCTTGCCTCCTTTGCCACGACCCGACATGCTCGCAGAATATCTACGCCGTCCAGTGTGAAACAGCTAGCAGAACGCGCGGTATATATTGCCTGGAGTCCGACCTGATTGAGAACTGGCTCGGGCGAGGAGGGGGCGCGACCCTTCTCTGTCTGCCTGCCCTGTGACTCCGCCCGGGCTCCGCCCACGCTCCCGGTTGGTCGCTTTGAAAGCACAGGGGCGGGTTCCTGCTCTCGCGGTTTCCTTTCCCGAGTCAGCCAAGGTCCCGGTGCTGTTCGCTCGCGGCCCAGGCGCCGGGCAGCTGGGAGGTTGCGGTCCCCTCCCTGTAGGCGGGGATGCGAGTCTCAAGCTGCCCGAGAGCTAAGACTGAGTTCGCCCGTTGCCTTGCAGCAATGCTGGGGCCGCCCCCAGCCCGGGGCTCCCGAGGGAGACGAGAACGGTGTCCAGCACCCCCGGCCCAGCGCTGCCCGGGACGCTCCAGACACGCGTGCCCCGTGTCCCCGGGCGCTGATTTGCCTCCCGGGGTACACTGCGGACGAGAGGCCCCAGGCTGGGACGCGGAGGGGGTGTTGTGTTTTCTGCGCGCCTCTGAATGGCTGGGTTTGCAGGCGGCTGCAGCAACATCTGACTCATCATCCGGTTTCTCTACGCGCCACCTGCTTCTTCTCTCCTCCCGCCGTCAGCCCTTTTCTCTATCTAGTCTCTGCTGTTTCCCGCCGCTTGCCCGGGGGCGCAGTGGGGTGGCTGCTGGGGGGCGGATTTCTTTGTCTCAGAGCCCGTGCATGGTGTCCGGCAGCAGTAGCTTCTTTGCCAGGAGGCTCAAGCTGATTCTTGCTCCCTGAATCCGGTCTCCCCCGGGGCTGGTCTCTGTTGCTCCGGTTGCCCTTCCTTTGGGTTGCCCGGGCCGCGCAGTGACCAGCTGCTTTCGCGAGCGGTAGCAGGATTCACTCAGGGGAAATTAAGCTCCTTTCCCCTGTCAGAGGGAGGGGTGGGCTCATCTCTGCGGGCGGGAGGCAGATGCGCGGCGCGCAGGAGCGCCGAGGAGCCAAGGCGCCTGGGTCTCAGAAGCCGCGCGTCCTCTGTTGCCTCCTACCGAGCGGAGTGCTCTTTTCAGGCAGCAGATTTTTCCTTTTCATGTCACTGGTTACCACCGAGCAACAGCCGCAAACAACCAGCAAACACCACACAGGAAAGCAACTGCCATTAATATGTATGTCTGAGCAGCTCTCCTACACTGGTCTCTAAGTAGGACCTGTTTAAGCTTGAATACCAAAGTCCATGGGACACTCCAAGTCACAAAAAACGAAATACTGAATGTAAAAACACTGGTGTACATGTTATATACCGCCTAACAAAAAGTGTTTATATCTTTTACATTTGTTACACATAGTTTACAATTTTGGGTATGTAAAATATATACACGTGTACACATATATATCAATATACATTCAACTATAGGTTTACACCTGTATATAAACCAGTTGATTTAGTATAGTTATGAGTATATAAAAATAATTATCCTGTTAGTAGTAGTAATCATTAATCTTTCTCTCTTCATTCTATTAACAACTAGCTACCACACTCAGATCAAGGCCTCCTAATTATAGACACTGCAAAAATAGATAGCAGGAGACAGACCAGTTGAACACCTTTCTAAAATAGAATCTGATGCAACACAGAAACTAGAGCTTGGGGTGTAGAGGGATAAATAGATACCTACTCTTACTTCTGTAGGCTCTGGACATGGTCAATGACTGATAAACCACAGCAACCCATGCAGGCTACTGGTCCAGCAAAAGCCCAAGTTGTGAAGTCTGGCTAAAACTGAAAGCCACAAAGGGTGTTCCAGAGTGTAGGTATTACAACTGGCTTAGTAAAGTAAAAGAAAAAGAACTTGGCAAGTAGCATTCCCGGATGGTGAGAGAAAAAGATAAGTTCTTTTTCCCACAATTGTACTTTTCACAAGGACAGACCCCAGCTAATTGCCAGGTTCACAGAAAAAATGATTAAGTCCATTTCCCAGAGTCTCAGGGTGACAAAGATATTTTAATAACACCTATCAGAATATTTATTTAAATAAGACACACACAAATACTGGATGTAAATAGAGGGAATTTGGGAAAAGACTCAGCAATTTTAAGGCATCCTGCTGCCTGCCTGCATGCCAGGATTCTCCTCTTTCCTGTTTCTTCCTCAGTCCTCATAGAAGAGAAACTCTATTGTGCTGTTACAGGTAGCTAGATAGGCATAGAGACAAGTGCTTATTCTTGTGCTTTGGGGTATCTATCATAAAAAAAATTGAGACCTATCTCTTGATCCTATTTGACTTGGGTGATGATAATCCTTACTTGCTAAGAAGGAATGGAGGATCATTGGTAAATGTGACTGCATCATGATTTGGTATACAAAGAGGGTAATCAGTAAGGGTATTGTAATTGAGGCTTATTTTTTTTCTAGGCTTGCAAAAGAGTCCTGATAATAGATAAGCAGAAAGGTACCAGGTTTTTGGTAACATTTTAGTAACACCAGGTTTTTGGTAACACTTTAGTATTTTTCTGTATATTATTTTGATATGCAGTTCATAATTCTTATCACCAAAAACCTACCAAATGTGAAATATGGATGATGTTAACACTATTAGTATTTTATGGAGTTAATACCACAGCTTGTCCTGCCTAGAGTTGATATCCTTAAGATGCTTTACCATGAATGAAGGCCTTTAATCCTTCTTATTAAATATTCAGAATCTCTACCGTTAGTACCTTGGAAGGATATGTAATACCAAGTGGCTAAGTGGCTTGATTAAATACAGTATATTACTACATGTAATCAAGCCTCTTACTATTATATATCAGTATAATTATAAACCTATATATATATATATATATATAATTTACATACCTCTTTCTGTCCATCAGTCTGTCCATCTATCTATGCCAATATGTAATATCAAGTGCCTTGATATTCTTGTATAATATTCAGCATAGGGTACAATTCTTTAATGAGGAAAATCATGAAAATATTTTTGTGCATCCCACACTATGTTAATATTCTTTCTCTAACCATTGAGAAGTGACAGAAAGACATAAGGGGTCCTGGCTATATAAATGGCAAACTTCAACTTTATTTTCAAAGGAACCCTGCCTCATTCAGTGTCCTTATTGATGATGATCACTCAAATAAAAGTATTTTGAAGCCTTCTTTAGCTCATGTTTCAGTATGTGTTCCCAAGCCTTGTCCACTGCATGCCATTCAACTTTGTTCTGAATTGAGACTTACTCAGATCTTGCTACACTTTGTCCATGGAATTTCCCATTGCAGTAGTGCAATGCTTCACAGCAGTTAATTAAGTCAGTGTCACAACACTCCTGGAAATTGAAGGAGTGTTATTATCCTGAGCTGATACATGGGCCGCATCCAGACGAGTGTGGTTGTGCAGTATGTGGCTTCACACATGCAGGTGTTCCCCACGCTGCTACCTTGCAGCACAGGAGGTTTTCTTGACAGTGGGAGATCTCAGGGTCAAAAAGAAATCCATGCCAAAAAAAAGTGGGGTGAAGCACGTGGCAGCAGTGCACACCACCCACAATTGGAGCCTGGTCAGCCCAAGCCACACTCTGGCTGTTGGTCAGGATCCCAGCTGCAGAACTGCTGTGGCTGCAGCTTCCCCAGCCGCCAGGACCCCACCTGGGGTAACCTGCCACACGCCAGAGTGCGCATGGCACAGGCATTCCTCGAGGACAAGTAGCAGGCAGCGGTACAAGGCATGCCACTGCTACTTGTCCCCAGGGAAACAAAGGTCGTCTGGATGCAGCCATGGGGAGCTAAGTCACTATGGAGTTAGACAAGGATTTATTCAGAAGATTCATCCTAAAAGCCAAAGTGCCACTTTTAGATCAAGACTTGGGGATTAGGGGGCCAGTGAACACATCTTCAGGAGGCCTCAAATGCCTCTACACAAACACTCGTAGTAGGGGAACAAGCAGGAGGAACTTACCCTCCTGCTAGCTGACCAATCCAGACATAGTGGGGCTCACAGAAACGTGGTGGGACCCAACACATGACTGGGTGGTGAATATCAAGGGCTATAGGCTGTACAGGAGGTATAGGACAGGGAGGAATGCTGGGGGTGTGGCTCTCTACGTCAAGGAGGAATACACATCCTCAACAAGCAGCACAAGGTCAGAGGAGGGGCACACTGGGTTAGAATACAAGGAAGTCGAGGGGAAAGGGACTTAACGGTGAGGGTCTACTACAGACCTCCCAACCAAGGGGAAGAGCTAGACCAGGAATTCTTAAGTCAGCTCACGGAGGTAGTTAGGTCAAAGGACGTGGTCATCATATGGGTGACCTAAACTACCCAGACATTTGCGGGGAGGAGCAGACAACCAGGTCTGACTGCTCATGTAGGTTCCTGGCTGTATTACAGGACCTTCACCACTAGGGGTAATGCCTTGCTGGACCTGGCCCTGGCCACTGGGGATCACCTGGTGAGGGGACTGCAGGTCTTTGACCACTTGGACAATAGCGATCGTCACCTGCTGGAATTCACTATCCAGCGCAAGGTGGCAAAGGCCTGCAGCAAGGCAGCAGCCCTGGACTTCAGGAGGGTGGACTTCAACGAGGTAAGGAGAATAGTCGGGGAGGCACTGAGGTCCCAGAGGGGAAAGGATTCGGGTGTCCAAGAAGAGTGTTCGTTCCTTAAGGAGACGATCCTCCAAGCCCAAAGGTAATCCCAACATGGGTGAAAGGGGGCAAGAGGGCGCAAAAGCCCCCTTGGCTCACCAAAAGCATATGGGAACATCTCCTAGCTAAAAAGGAGGCGTACACCCAATGGAAGGGAGGGGCCAACACCAGGGAGGACTATACCTCGGTTGCTCGGGGCTGTAGGGGGGTGGTCAGGAAGGCCAAGGCACAGATGGAACAGGGACTACCTACTCAGATCAAAGACAACAAGAAGTCCTTTTTTAAATACAAAGGGGGCAAAAAAAGAAGGTACCGGATAACGCGGGGCTGCTGCAAGACACGCTAGGAAATCTGGTCGT